ACTAATAGACTTAAGCTAAAGAACGGGTCTTTATTAACCTTTAAGCCTTTGTAACTAATAAATTTAATTAATACTTTAAGTCTTTAATTAATAAATATGATTAGTAAATGTGATTAGTAAATGTGATTAATAAATATGATTAATAAATATGATTAATAAATGTGATTAGTAAATGTGATTAGTAAACTTAATTAGTAATTATGCATATGCATATTTTTATATATATAAACTTTATGGAGTAACCTTACGCCTTATAGGGTTTCCTTATAGGAAAGGGCAGAATTTTGTACCCTTCGTGGGTTCCCTCGTAGGGAGGACCCAAAACTCCGTGGGGCCCCATGGGGCCCCATGGAGCAGCCTAATTGTTTTTAATAAAAAGGACGCTAAGCTTATTAAATTAGTAGGCTATTGCGATTCTAATTAAGCCGGCTTTAGAATAAGTCGAGTCTTATATAGCGGAAGAGTATTTTTTTTTGCAAAAAGCGTTTTTAACGTCATTTTTAAACGCTAGACTATTGTAGCTCTTTCCTTAACCGAGGCTAAGTACGTAGCTATATGCAAATTCGCTTAAGAAGCCGCTTGGATTAAGCAGGTACTTAATAAAGTTAGCTATAAAAAAGCTGACGCGAAAAAAATTAAAATGATTTGTGACTTATAAAAAGCACTTTCACTCTTTAAAAACCTTAAATACTATTAAAGAATTAAGCATATCGATATCAAGTTCTATTACGTACGCTATAAAGTGGTAAAAAGACGACTCGACTTATAGTATATTCTTAGCAAAAAAAACGTCGCCCACGGTATGACAAAGCTATTGAATAATATAAATCACGCTGCCTTTATACAATTGCTTCGAATGAAGGTGCTAAAGCTATAAAGCTTAGCAAAAGGTGTTTTCTTAGCAAAAAGTGATAAGGGTGTATTATAAAAGATTTTTTCTCCTTTTAGAAATCGTACTTGCTATATTCGATAGAAATTAAATAAATTATGCTTTTAGAAGTGTTTTTACTTTTACTTTATAAAAAAGATATATTAATTTAAATACAATTAAGGTACTGCCGAAAGCTTTTAAGGCCTCGATAAAAAGGTGTGTTACTAAGTAAAGTGTAAGGTAAAAGTATAGTATACGGTGCACGTGCACGTATACGTGCACGCACGAACCTTAGCCTTAGCACGCTCTTACTATAATCTCGCCCTTAATTCTTAGTCTTAAATAATACAAGTTAATCAACCACAACATCAGCAAAGCTTCCTCGTGACCTGGTACTATCATCAGATTAATACCAGCAATAAAAGCTAATTAAAATCTTTTGCGAATCGATTAAAATAAAAAGAAAACTTCTTTTATATAAATTAGATTCGTTTAAGCAGCTAAGAAATCAATAAAAGAGCTTATAATATGCTATAAAAAGTGCGACCGAGCTTTAAAGTATTCGAAGCTAAAGGCTTTTAGAACGAAAGCATTAGCCGATCATTAAAAAACGAACGTTTGCAAACGCGTCGTAAGTAAGCTAAAACAAAAGCTTCGGCAAACTTAATTAAAATCTAAATCTCTTTAACGCAATTTAATACGTTTGTTTTTATTTATAAATTCGATTAATAAATCTAGTAAATCTAATTAATAAATCTAATTAATAAATCTAATTAATAAATTTAATTAGTAAATTTAATTAGTAAATCTAATTAATAAATCTAATTAATAAATCTAATTAGTAAATCTAATTAGTAAATCTAATTAATAAATCGGATTAATAAATTTGATTAATAAATAATAAAACTAATATTAAATAAACATATTTATTACGAAAAACGCTTTCGCATTAAGACTTAAAATCAACATTTCGAAAAAGTATTTTAGATATTATATTATCTATGCGAAGCTCGTTTCGAATAGTTAATAACTCGAATTAGAAATCTCTTTACGAATTATAAAACCTATATCTTAAGCTCTTTAGTGCTTTAATTATTAAGCGAAACTTCGATAATAAGATTTTAAAAATTGATCGCCATCTATTAAATAATTTATTAGCTAATTAAAAACTTAGCATTTTATTAGATTATTAGTTTAGCATTAAGCGCTATTCTTTTATATATATAATCGAAACTGCAATTACAAAAGATTAGCATATAATTTAGCTTATGCTTAGATTTATATACGTTAAGTTTAATTATATAAGAAAAGAATTAGCAAGAATTATTTACGAACGCTTTATTAAATTAAGCTTAATAGAAAAGATAATCGCGATTATAACGGATAACGCATCTTTAAATAATATAATAATAAAAGAGTTGCTTAAATGCGTCGAAAATACGTTTAAGAAAAAGCTTTTTATAAGCTAAGAGATTTTATACGTTCCGTATATAGCTTACGTCTTGCAATTATCTTTTAAAGCGTTGCTCGAACCGCGATTATCGCTAACGAACGAAAGCTTAAAAAAGTATTAAAAAAAAGATTTTGATATAAACGAGCTAAAAGAAGCAAAAAAACGCGATAAACGAAGGATTGCATATATACTTGCGATTATAAGTTTTTTTTTTTAAAAAAAAATATTTATTAATTATATTTACTAATTATTAATCAATGTATTTAAGTTCGAAAGTTTATCAAGTGTATAACGGCTAGCTAATTTCGAAAATCGCAATTTAATAAAACGATAAAAGCTTTTATCGATAATTTAAAGCATCTTTTAACGAAAAGCTTAAAGCTTATTTTAAATATTATTATAAAATAAGATTCTATATTTTATATGCTTAATCGATTTATAACTTTTAATGATATTATTTAAAGATATTATATAAAAATCGATAAAATAAATATTTTCAAATTATTTAATACTTAATAAAAGTAAATCTTATAGCTAATCGATATCTTTCGACCGTTTTACTTTTTAATTATGCACTTAAATAAAAAGCTTAATCTTATTATTTAATACGAATTTTTAATATTCGATAAAATATTCGAACGTTTAAATAAAGCATAAGCACGATTAAAGTTTAAATATATAAAGATTTCGAAAAAAGATTGCAATAATTTTAAATAAATCTTGCAATTAAAAGAAAGCGTTATTAATACTATCGAGAAATTAAATAAGTATTATAAGAAAACGCAAGAG